AAAACTATTGTGTTTGTTGGCTTTTACATGGTCTAGCATGTATCTTTTTGCTCAGAGCAGAAAGCATTAAATCCTAAAAGCATCATCTGTTTTCGAACACTGGACATTCTGCTGAAATTGGAGGAGTGGGTCACAGTTATAAACATTAACAAATATTAAACAATATAAAAGCATTTTTGTCACCTACCATAGCCATGGTTTCATATAGTGTTCAATCAATATTTGTTTGGAAGCATGAATAAACAAATGATGCACATAAACTATGTGTATGTGTATATGGTGTGAGAGGGAGGAAATACACATATTGAAAGAATCCCATTAAAAGAAGGCTCCCAAGTAGACTTGTGCTAGTTAATTAGTTTTAATTCCGTTTCAAAAGACATTTCCAATAGTGCTTTCTGTCACATTGAATTGAAAAGATAGTTTTACCAATATTGTGGTGCTAGGATGGTAATTATTATAGAAAACTATATTCTTCAGAAACTGCATAAATGTTTATAACAGGAACTAAAGGTATCCACCAACATCCATTCTATTCTTTCCATAATAATAAAATGCCCAAACTTGAGAATGACTACCCTACTACAGACTACATTTCCCAGCCTTTCTTTCAGTTTAGTGTGTCCATGTGACTAAGTTCTGCATATCAGTGGACAGTAGGTATGTCACTCCCCACTTCCAGGAATTGATGCACATATTCCTCAATCTTTTTCTTCTAACTTCCTGGCTGGCTAGCTGGCTGGATGCAAGAAGTCAACAACCACAACAATCACCTTACACAGACACCAAAGCCACATATTAAGGATGCAGAGGTACCCTAACAGCTTTGAGTGCTCGCCCTCTAATCTATGTAATGGGAAAGAAGAAATTAAGTGCTTAAATCCATTATATTTGGGGATTTTTTTGGTCACAGCATCATAATCAATTATTTAGTTATTATGTTTTTAAGTCTTTTTTATTAATAATTTTTTAAAATTTATATGACAGCATAATGCATTATAATTCATGTTACACATATAGAACACAATTTTTCATATCTCTGGTTGTATACAAAGCATATTCACAGCAATTAATGTCTTCATACATGTACTTTGGATAATGATGACCATCACATTCCACTATCATTTCTAACCCCATGCCCCCTCCCTGCCCCTTTCACCCATCTAAGATTTATAATGAGCTTTAGTTAGCAACAGAAAAACCAATAAACATAAAAATGATGAATTCACCCAAATCTGCCTATGTAGTTGATATATCTTAGAAGGCCAGTAGAATTTTCAATAAAACAATTCTCAAACACAAACATTAAAATAAGGAAAATTTAAAAACTACATATGAATAAGAGGAGAAACAAACATTAATAAAAGAAGTTATGAAAAATCCCATGGAAAACTTAATTATGTCAAAAGTTACAATATATTTTTTCAGATACGATAATTCATAAAGCAACATAAAACATCCTTGTTCGTATTCTTTTATATGATAATTAAGTGCAACTACAACAAAACACAGGAGAGGCTCAGGTAAACAAAGTTCACTATACTCACAAGTCTTAAGGAGTCACACTGCATACCATGTAGTCACAGGAAAAGCACTAGGCTGGGGTTAGGTGGCAGAAGACAGGAGCAAAAGGAGAGGTTAGCCCAAGGCCTTTATTGGAATTGTCAAGAGAAAGGTAAGACAAGGCAGGGTAAACAATTTAGAATTGGCTACTCTCCATAATTCCAGTGACTTTTGGGCTTTAAGGGTGCTCTCTACTTGCATGGTTGCTGGCTCTAGATGATCAAAGCAGAGAAATACTGCCTCTTGGGTGTATAGGCCAGATAGAGAAGACAAGGCAATGGGTTGGTTAGTTTACATTATCAAAGGCATTATTCTCCCAGCTGAGTCCTTTGCTATCTTTAAAAACTGACTAACAGCCAGAGGGGCAGTCTTTCCCTAGCTAGAAAGGCTTTGAAAATGTTCAAAACTCACAAAAACACAGAAAAATAAAAATTATACAATACAACCTTACTATGATTATATGCTTGCTATGATTAATCTCATTCAGAGTCTATGAAAAAAAAATTCTAATGGTTTCCATTCACTACCTAAGCTAAAAAATACATCTACCAATACATATTGCAAGCCTTACCACCAACACATAAATGAAACCACAAGCCAGGCACACCTGGAATCCCAGTAACTCCGTAGGCTAAGGCAGGAATATTTCAAGTTCAGGGCCAACCTCAGCAATTTAGTGAAACCCAGTCTCAAAATAAAAACATGAACAGGCCTAGGAATGTAGCTCAGTGGTAGAGTGCCACTAGCCACTAGATTCAATTCTCAGTACCAAAAAAAAAAAAAAAGGAAAAAGAAAAAAGAAATCACAAATATATACCAACACATCATTTAAAATAAAAAATACAGATAAAAATGCTTAACACATTTATTTATTTCAATATAAAAGATTTTTTAAGATATAACTTTTTTTTAAATCTCATGATTCTTTTTTTAAAAAACTAATTACCTACAAGAATCATTTACAACAGTGTGCAAGACTGCCTTTCCTTGAGGCATTTAGGCAAGGAGGGATATTCTGCATTGTGTATAGGATTGCCAACTCTTTTTTGGTGCCCAAGAGTTCTGAAGGTTTTAATGCTCTACAACATGAGAGATAGTCTTCTACCAAAATAGAAATTACTAACTGTCCAGCCCAAAAAGTTTACTTTATACTTTTTTTCTTATCCAATACCAACCACAAAAAATTCAATACTAAGAATAATCAAGATGAGCCTATTACTGTGTTTTTTTTAAGTATTTTTAGAATCCAAACCAACTTTTAACATTAGAAACTGTTTATCCAAGTACAGAAAGAATATTGCTTATAACTTTTTCAAAATAGAAAAACATTTGGGGATTTGAAGCTAGAAGTATAATGCCCCTTTAGTATAGTCTATGAATAAGGAAGGATAAAATCATTAGTTGATGTCTGTTGTGTGTTCACACACACACACACACACACATATACAGGTGTGTGTATATATATATATATATATATATACACATATATATATATATGTTTATATACATATACATAAAACTGAGACACATAGATATACATGCTAAATATATAAATATCACACATGTATATATACAATTAATACTTATAGATAGATTACATATATAAATAGATGTACTAAGAAGTCTTCTTATTTCTAGTCCTGTTTATTCATGGACTGCAAAAGAAAGGCGTGTTTTGCTGCTTTTTACAATACACAGTACAGTTTCAGTATATGGTTCTTATAGTTTCTCATATTGTCTTGGGCAATATGGTCCCCTGGATTTGTTTTGTGTGAATATACACAAACACATACATACACACACACAAAAAAAATGTGTATGTAGTGTATAAATGTATATGTGTGTATGGTTATCTTGAAAAAAAATGACATGAAACAATTTTCCTCAAAAATGGCCAAAGAGGGCGGGGATTATTGGCACTGTGGCAGAGCACTTGTGCCTTGCACATGTGAAGCACTGGGTTCGATCCTCAGCACCACATAAAAACAAATAAACAAAATAAAGATATTTTTAAATGGACAAAGAATATTCAAATATAATGCTGTTCCTTTTACACTATCATCTATATTCAACCCTCACAATAACCTGAAAGTGGAAATAATCCAATTATGAAGAATTTGAGGCCCTTGAGTGGTTAAAATGACTTATATGCTCCAAATTGGCAGGAACCATTTTTATATTTTTCTAGTGCATTATAAGTGTTAAGAATTAAATGGATATTGCTCAAAATTAGACTTCAAGGAAATAATCTGGTTTTTCTAACTCAGAAACAGTTTAAGAATTTCAAAGCATCTAATTTAACATGTCTCAAGAAATAAAATGTAAACATTTACTCCTTCAAGTATTTGATTCCCTATGAAATTCAAGTCTGCCAGCCACATCATGTTATAGCTATGTATAAAGTATGTCACTGCCTTTTTATTAGCTTGCTTAATTCAAATATTTAAAGTACATTAACAACACAAAACTATGATATTAAAGAGTCACTACAAATTAGAATGTTTTATAAGATTATAAGAAGTAGTTGAGTAGATAAACACAACTGGATTTATTTCTAGAAGCAGGGTTGGATCTAAGGAAAATCATCAAGCAAGAATTTTCTTTTTTTAATTTCTAAAGCTCCCACTCTTGGTGATCCATTGACCAGGGTCCTCAATGTCCCTCCATACTGACTCTTACATAACCATGCCACGTCCTTGTTTCTCTTCAATCGAGTCGGCGATTACCTCTGCAGTACTAAGAAATAAAAGACTTAGATTTTCATCCTGAGAACTGTCATTAAATTTCTGGATGAAATCTGGCAAGTAACTTTCTCTGAGTCTCAATTTTCCCAAATGTAGAGTTACAAAGTTCAGTTAGACCACCAATTCTAAAAATTGCCTAACTACAAAAACCTAAGCCAATTCTGTGACTCCTTTGTCAATATGGACTCCTGAGTCTCACCCCAGACATACCTGGGCAGGGGAGAGGGGAGGAAAAGAGTGGAAAGAAAAAAATTTAATTACAACAATGTAAATTTCATTACATTGTTAAATGCATACATTTCAGTATATTAACTTTCATTTTAGTCACATACATGGTCTTAAAGTGATTAGATATTAAATATTTTGAAATATGAAAAAGGAAACTAAATAATATAGTCCAAAGAACATACTCAAAAGCCTTCCTGGCAGCTATTTCAATCTGCTAGGCCTTTAAAAGCTACTTTCTTGTATTCTCAGATCCTTAAGAAATAAGAAGGGTTAATCTCAAGAAAGTACAGACATTCCTATTACAGGGATTTCCTTACAAATGAAAATATCAGCACATAAGAAATTTTCAACATATTCTTTAAATCAACATAATCCAATTAAGTAACTAAAAACTTAGATGACTAAATCCTTTTCATTAAAAAGTAACCTCCATTTTTAAAAAATGCTCTTCACATAATGAAATAAATAAAACAGTCTTACCTAATCGTAATTCTCCAAAATTGCCACATCCAATTTTTTTTCCAACTCTAAAGTTAGGTCCAACCATTAAAACTCCAGATGATGAAGACCCAGTTCCTCGAGTGTTGTGCCCTGATCGGCCACTAGGTCGTGCCATTCTATCATCTGATTTGTCCTTGTCTTTCTTTTTATTATCCATATCAAGTTTTCGGTACTCCACTTTGAATTCTTTAATCAAGACAAGCACGCTGAAATAGGGTATTGTGAGAATAGGTACATCACTAGGTAACTGTACCAGGCGGGTAACGTTAACATTCAAATTGCAGTAGGTAGTCAATCAACTGGAGCGTGTTCATCCCATTCGTAAAATCTTTCTCAGTTGTCTTTTCAACAAAACATGTCTTCAAAATTATCTTCTCAGTGATGTAAGCTGATATCAATGAACAGCTAGAACATTAAGAAAAGACAATTAGTCAACTAATAAAATTTTAAAATGTGTGTTTGGGAAATAAATAACAACTGCTCAGGCAATGATGTATTTCTATTTGTTGATGCCCATTAAAATCAAATCACAGTAGATTCCTAAATTAGTCATTATCCTTTATTTCCATACTTTAATACCAAAGAAATCACAAAAACAAAAAACAACAAAGAAATCAGGGATTCAGTTACTTTTAAAAAATTAAAAAGGAGCAAAAGAAACTGTTTCACCAAAAATATACATTCAATAACAGACCTTTCAACTTGAAATCACCTTAATTAGAGGGAAAAAAAGTTTTTTAAAAAATTCCAGGAAATTAAGAAATAGTTTCTATTTAAAAGAAGCAAGACAGAATACATTTTGAAAATTAGTAAAATATCTTTTTTTTTATTTTTTTTTATTGTTGGTCGTTCAAAACATTACATAGTTCTTAATACATCATATTTCACAGTTTGATTCAAGCGGGTTATGAACTCCCAACTTTACCCCGTATACAGATTGCTGTATCACATCAGTTACCCTTCCATTGATTGACATATTGCCTTTCTAGTGTCTGATGTAGTAAAATATCTTAAGAAAAGTATCTTTCCATGTTCATATACTTAATAACTTCAATCTTCAAATATATATTCATTTGGTCTTATTAATTCAAATATTTATTGTCCTGTATATACAGGAAAAGAGCATAAGACTGAAAAGACAAAAACATTCTTGCTATGTCTCAAGGAAAACAATTTGAAAATATCATTTGAACCAGGTCTTAAAATGGCACATGCCCTTATAATCCCAGTGGCTAGGGAGGCTGAAGAAGGAGGATCATGAATTCAATGTCAGCCTCAGCAACTTAGTGAGGCCCCAAACAACTCAGTGAGACCCTGTCTCTAAATAAAATATTTAAAAAGGGCTTGGGATGTGACTCAGGGGTTAAGCACAGCTAGGTTCAATCCCTGGCACCAATATATACATACATACATATACACAAATATATATATTCTCCCCCACAAGGCTAAGAAATGCTGACAAGCATCAACCTTACAAAATGGAGAAGTCAGTTATTTTCTAATATATAAATAAAATGTTCAAGTCTTTTATAAAATTCTGTCCCATTCATCTTATTTAGAAATTTCAGCCCTCAAATGTACCTCGATCATGTGGTAAATCTGCAACCTTACTACATGATCTCCCTACTCCTCTTTGAACAATCTGAGTGGTCTTCTATTCTTTGCAATTAAAAAAAAGGTTTTGACTTCAAAAGATAGTCACTAATTAAAAAAAGACAACAAGGGCTGGGGTTGTAGCTCAATGGTAAAGTGCTTGTCTCTCATGTGTGAGACACTGGATTCAATCCTCAGCCACAAATAAAAATAAATAAAGATATTGTGTTCATCTACAACTAAAAAAATTATTTTAAAAAAAACAATACCAAGGACTAATTCCTGTCTCTGAAATTGATTATACAATGCAGATATAACAAAAATTGAAACAAAAAGTGTTACCCGGTTAATTTTCAGCAACCACCAAATTTGCAATAAGTTCTAACAATCTATTTTTAATGTTTTGTTTGCCATATTTTTTTTATTTGTAGGTGAAACTGTAAATTTCTGTTCACTACATGTAAAGCTGAATGAGACCTCTGCTTCTAGCCATAACACATTAACTGATAGTAAACAATTCTTCCTGTTATAAGCAACTTTAACTATATAAAACACAGGAAGGATCTGTTTTCAGGTATCAGTATATACTGTGACAGAAAGTGAGTCCACCAAGCTGCCTATTGAGAATTTCCTGAACACAAAGCAAGGAGGTAAGGTTTAGCACACAAGATCACAGAACAGAGCTTGGAGCAGTTGTAGTGGAATTTGCAGGACATGGCACCAAAGGGAGGCAATTTCACAGTAGGAATTTCACACAGTGCCCCTGAGTGCCCCATAAAGAGAAGTATGGCAGAAAGCTTGGCTACACATACATGCAGGAACATTTTGAAACTCCTAGAGGAAAATGGCTATGACAAAGTTAAAGGAAGAATGAGATGAGGTTACACAGTAGTATCCCTTCATGGTATTAATATCAACTCAATAAAGACATAAAAATCATAGAAATATGTATAAGAAAATGAAGCAAAGAAAACAAAACTAAAGAGAAAAAAGACAACTATAGTAAAAAATTTTAACACCATTCTTTTGGTAACAGATAAAAGACAAAACTAGCAGTATGTATACAGTAGATCTAAATATCATCAACTATTGAACTGAGAGACATTGATAAAATTTCCAAAACCACAAATAAAATTTCCTTTAAATGTCTACCAAGAGAAATCATATCCAGTCTCAAATAATTAAAATATTAGAGTACTTTTGATCAAAACAGAATTAAATTAGAAATCAGTAACAATATGATATCTAGAAATCAAGAATATTTGAAAATTAAACATACTTTTAAATAATTAAACATACTTTTTCATAAGTTGAAAAAGAAATAATAAAGAAAACTGAAAACAATTCTAACATAATAATAATAAAAGAAAACATTAAAGTTTATCGTTTGCAAGCTGGGCACAGTGGTGTACACCTATAATCCCAGCGGATCAGGAGGCTGAAGCAAGAGGATCATGAATTCAAAGCCAGCCTCAGCAACAGTGAGGCATTAAGCAACTCAGTGAGACACTGCCTCTAAATAAAATACAATAAAGGGCTGGGGATGTGGCTCAGTGGTTGAGTGCCCCTGAGTTCAATCCCCAGTACCAAATAAATAAATACATAAAGTTTATAATTTCCAGCCAAAGCAGTGCTTAGAGGGAAATTAGAAGCTTGAATGCTAACATTAGAAAAGAAGTAGTTTTTAATCAACTAGATTTCCCCCTTAAGAAGCTAGAAAAAAGCAAACAAGACATAAATTAAAGAAATAATTTTAACAACTATTATTAATAGCCCATTGACTTATAATAAAATATAATCTTAATGAGTGAAAACAAAAATTCTCAACAGATAACAGAAATACCAAACCTTAAAAAAAAAAAAATTGAAACCATTTGTTATAGTTGAGATCTGAAATGTCCCACAAAGGCTCAGATGTTTGAAAGCTTGGTCCCCAATTGCAGCAATGTTCAGAGGTGGGTCTCTGGATCATAAGACTCTATCTCATCAAAGGATCGACCCCACTAATGGATTCATAATTGAATGGACTCCTGAAAGATGGTGGAAACAGTAGGAAATCAGGTCTAGTTGAAGGAAGTAGCTCACTGGGGTGTATGCCCCAGTAAAGTATATCTTATCCCTAACCCCTCTCCACCTTTCTTTCTCTCTGCTTCCAACCACTGAGGTGAGCAGTTGTGTTCCACTCCATGCTCCCTGACATGACGTTCTGCCTCACCAAAAGCCCATAATAATGGAGCCACATGAACACAGTCTGAAATCATGAATTAAAATAAATCTTCCCTCAAGTTGATTTTCTCTTGTATATTGTCACAGTAATAAAAAGCTGATTAACACACCCTAGAATTAAAAGAAACATATATGAAATACTTTCACTGGATACACTAAACAACATATGAGATAAAGCAGAAGAAAGTGTCAATGAACCTTTCTCAATATTCAGAGAAATTATCCAAAGTGCAAAAATCAATAAAATTGAAAACAGGCTGCAAAAGGACAAAATAAATAAAGCCACAACTGTATCCTTTAGAAAAAGGTGAATAAAACTGGTAACTATCAGCAAAAATGATCAAGAATAAAAACAGAATATACAAATTACCAATAAGAAGGATACATGGAGACAGCAAAAAGATCCTACAAATTATATTAAAATAATAAAGGGCTATTGTGGCCACTAAATTTCATAACTTGGGTGAAATAGAAAAATTACATCCAATTACACTCCAAATATAATTTTTAAAAATAAGTACCCATTTACACATATAAAACTAAACACTAAATGCCAGGGATGGCGCACATCTGTAATCCCAAAGGCTCAGGATGCTAAGTCAAAAGGATCACAATTTAGCAAAGTCACAGCCACTCAGCAAGACCCTGTCTCTAGATAAAATGTTTTAAAAGGCTTGAGATGTGGCTCAGTGGTTAAGCTCCCCTGGGTTCAATCCCCAGTCCCCCCCACCCCAAAAAAAGAAACTGAACATTATTATCTCAAAATGCACCAGACCTTTACCATAAAACTTAACCTAAAAATGCAGCTTTTTTTTTTTTAAAGTTTCTGAACATATCAGTATTTTAATTTAGAAGTTAAAAAAAAAAAAGAACTCTTTTATTTCTTTAACTTAGAAGGAAATAATTTTCTTATGGTGAATTTTCACATTATTTTCAATACATAGCTTTTCATATATGTTTAATTAATGAAATATTCAAAGGCACATTCTACATGTAACAGAAAATTAAGTAACACAAATGAAGCAAAAATATTCCTTGGGGCCAGGAGCAGTGACACATGCCTATAATCCCAGCAGCTAAGAGGCTAAGACAGAAGGATTGCGAGTTCAAAGCCAGCCTCAACAAAAGTGAGGCGGCGCTAAGCAACTCAGTGAGACCCTGTCTCTAAGTAAGATATAAAATAGGGCTAAGGATGTGGCTCAGTGATCTAGTGCCCCTGAGTTCAATCCCCAGTACTCCCCCTCCCCCCGCAAAAAAAATATTCCTTGGGATGCTCACACCCATGTCTCTCAATTCACCCCTTCTCAGAGATAAACATTACTTTCAGTTTGGTATATATACTATAGACCTTTTTTGTAATGCTTGTGTATGCATACAGTTATATGTAGATATACTTGTAGATTGGTTGGTTTTACATAGAGGCCCATAAAAGCCTCTGAAGAACCAAAACTGCCCAACAATAGAAATAGCATTTAAGAGCCTATTTAAAAAATGAAGGGTATATGGCCCTTCCCTTTGATACCCTACCCTATCTACACAACATGAACAAGGGGAAGCATAATGAGTTGGGTAAAGAGTCAAGAAATAGCCCCTAATTCTCTTTCCTAAAAAAGGGCCCAGGGCCCAAGGTCAACTGTGAAACTGGGAAGTAGTGAGAAAAAGGCAGGAAGAAAAGATTACCTTAAAATTGAATTTCAAAAATGAAAAAAGTCATCTTAATGCCTGAAAATGAGTCTACTGCCAAAGCTGAACTATTCTTATAAATATACATGGCAAAAAAAAATCAATGGAATTTGACTAGGATATCATTCATGGGTAGGGAAGGGAGAAAAATCAAAGAATATATATGACAATGGTGGTTAGTGAGAAATTTAAGTCATTTCCAATTTTATTCCATTCAGTTCAGCACATTCACCTAACTATTCATAAACTAGTAATAGGTATTTTTATTTTAAAAAATATTTTTAACAAATTAGATTTTAATTAAACCATTTTTTATGATGAATCTCAAACAGTGCTAGTACTTTCCCTATCACAGTATCTATCAAACAGTATCACTTCAAGTCTGTACATAACAGAAGTCAGCAAACTATAGTCTGTAGGCTCACTCCTCCCCATTCCTATTCTTGTACAGCATTCAAACTAAGGAAATAACATTTTGTGACATGTGAAACTTATAAGATATATGGGCTGGGGTTGTGGCTCAGCAGTAGAGTGCTCACGTAACACGTTTGAGGCCCTGGGTTCAATCCTCAGCACCACATAAAAATAAATAAAATAAAACTACTGTGTCCAACTAAAGAATAAATATTTTAAAAAGACATTTAAATGTTAGTGTTCATCAATAAAGCTACACAGAAATGAAGCCTTGCTGATACATTTTATATGTAGTTATGACTGTTTTCATCCAAGAGTAGAACTGAGTAGTTATGACAAACCCTATGTGGTGCTATTATCACCTCACACTGCTGCTCAGAGCACCATAAACTGCAGTGGCACAGTTATAATTTGACAGTGTTTACAGTGCCACACATATTGCCATATCATTACACTGTATTTATTTTGTACCAATGCAAACTCATCATGTCAAAACCAGAAAAGAAAAGTGGACTTTTTGACTATCATGATCTTAAAGCATAGTGAGGTGTGGCTTGTTATCAAATTAGATGGGAAAGCATTATGTTTTCTACACAAAAACAATTATGCCAAAGAATGTAATATACTTGAATATGAATAAATTTATCAGTTCCAGTGCTGTGTAACAAATTACTACAAACTCAGAAATTTGAAACAGTACATATTTATTATCTCATAGTCTCCACAGATGAGAAACCTGGACACAGATTAGCTGAGTCATCTGCTCAGGCTATACTCAAGGTACTGGCTAGAGCTCATTCTCCTTAGGTGGCTCAAGTGGGAAAATACCCTCTTCCAATCTCCTTCAGATTGTGGAAAGAATTCATGACCTTGCATTGTGTAATTGAGGGCCCCAGCTTTTTGTTGGCTGTCAGAGGCAACCCTCAGTTGTCACAGGTTGCCTACATTTTCTCACCATTTCCTAAAGTTCCTGTCACATAGGCTTTTCCAACATGGTTCCTCTAAGACTGAGTCTTATTCAAGGTAAAACATCATCTTTTCTCATACTCAAATTCCAAATTTTGTATCCTGCTCTAGTTCTCCTAAGCAGAGAAAAATCATTAAAGAAAATTCTCCTGAGCAGGGGCAAAAATGGGCTACAGAATTCTAAGTAGGAAAGAAAAGTAAACCTAGTGTTATGTACTACTTGGTTCCAAAAGCTAACTATAGTAATGTAAGCACAGATAACTGGTTTTCAACTTTCAAAATAAATCTTATCAAAAAAAAAAAAAGGCAAGATAAATGTCCTAGAAAAGAATATAAATTTTGCCCATCATAACAGTGTAACAATAACAGTACAAATAACAGAAGTTTAGCTGTTAATAGAACAAAGATAAGGTATAGGAAGGATAGGACAAGAATATCTCTATCTTGCATAGTACCAAGTTAAGAGAAAATGTAAAAACTTAACTGGAACCAGAAACAGATAAAAGAACACTATTTAAAGTGTTAAAAGGAAAGTAACTGCCCAAACATTTAAAGACAAAATACAAAATGGGGAATGTGAGCTAAAAATCTCATCATTAAAAAAGATAAACTGATTTAAGATAATGTTAGATTTAACATATTATCAAAGAGAAAAGAGAGCACATAATTTAGAATTATGAAAATAACCACGCTAAGTATTTTAAACAAATTATTAAAACTGGTTATATATACTGAAATAAATCAAAAATTGGAGATATGAGGTAAGACTATTATTTATATATCCTTCTGTATTATTTTAATTTCTTCCATATATAGGTATTAATTTAAGTATATTAATTCTACTATCAACCAGTAAATTAATCCTAAAAAATACCTTTAAAATACTGTCAAAACACGATACTTCAAATGACTAAACAGTAAAATATTACATACCTCTACAAATCAGTTTGTGTTTTTATTTTTGTTTGCTTATTTTGAATAAAAAGTAAGGTTCAGCCTGGCGCAGTGGCACACACCTATAATCCCAGAGACTTGGGAGGCTGAGACAGGAGGATCGCGAGTTCAAAGCCAGCCACAGCAATGGTGAAGTGCTCAGCAACTCAGTGAGATCCTGTCTCTAAATAAAACACAAAATAGGGCGAGAGATGTGGATCAGTGTTTGAGTGCCCCTGAGTTCAAACCCAGTTCCAAAAAAAAGAGTCCAGCCATAGTGGGGACAATTGTGGAATTCTTAACCTAACATGACCCCCTAGCCAACCCTGGGCATTTTCAAAATAGATCCACAGGTTTCAGAAGATATGATCCTTCCAGCACAATGGCAAATAGGCCTGTAATCCCAGCAACTCAGGAGGCTGAGGCAGAAGGATTGCAAGTTTGAGACCAGCCACAGCAATTTAGGAAGGCCTTAAGAAAATTAATGAGAACCTGTCTCAAGAAATTAAAAGTGCTGTAGATGTAGCTGAATGATAAAGCACTACTGGATTCAATCCCCAGTATAAAAAAAAAAAGATTTCATGATCCTAAGAAAGTTAAGAATAACTGAAAAGTATACTGTTATTTTCTCACTAAATTGCGTTATAAATACATTCTTAGAATTACAGCTAGAAATATAGCTCAGTGGTAAAGTACTTGCCTATCATGCACAAAGCCCTGGGTTTGATCCAGCCTGACAATAAATAAATGAATAAATAATACATTCTTAGAAAAAAAAATCTTCCTTAAAACCAGGTAACATTTGTATTTGTTTAACATTCAACCTTATTTTTTAAAAAAGAAGTTTTTAGAGCCACATAAAATAAACATACCAAATAAAGGACTAAAAAACAGATTTAAGAAATAAGGAAGGAAGTAAAATAATGTTATAAGTAAGATGATCTCATTATATACTATAAAGTTTGGTATCCAGACAAAACATATTTATTTCTGTACTTTCTAGTGGTCAAACAAAAATAGAATACAATTGAATATAGGGCTTGGGTTGTGGCTCAGTGGTAGAGTGCTTGCCTAGCATGCATGAGGCACTGGGTTCAATCCTCAGCACCACATAAAAATAAAGATATTATGCCCACCTAAAACTAAAAAATGAATATTAAAAAAAGAGAAATCCCCTTGTTTTAAAAAAAAAAAAGAAAACAACTGGATATAAAATTCAGAGTGTTTATTTAAATTCCACTAAAAAGATCTGTTAAAAGACTAATAAAGAATCCTACTATTATATGATATCTGCAGATGCAATCAATAATATAAACTAATATCTGCTTCAAAGAAGCTTTCAATTCAAACATCACAAAAAAATTTTTTTCTAAAAAAGCTTGAAACTCAGGCATCCATAGAAATAAAAATTATTGAAAGAAGTTTCACAGAACCATGCCTTGCTTACAATTTATTTTAACATAATTTAAATGATTATTTATACTGTTTAATAATATTTTAATTTGTAGAGATTTTTGTCTCTTTAATTGAAATCTTAATCCTTCTACTATTAAAGATAATAAACATGTATTTAGTTAATGTGCATTAAGCTACAAACTGTGCATAAATAGTAATAAAATATGTAACATATTCAATTCTAAAATTATTCTGACATTTAAGTATCTATATTAAAAAGACAGGGAATTCATCAAAAGGAAATTATCCTCAAGAATAAATTAACAAATATGAAATCAATTACTTTGCTTTCATAAATAATTTCAATTTTGATATAGCAACATCCACTAATAAAGATAAAATATGTGCTTCTATATACAGAAAACATTAGACATAATCTGATTATATGAGGAGAAATGTGGGCCACTGGCATACTTCTAATTTGATGACCACTGATGAATCTTCAAAACAGAAAACAGAAAATCAGATTCTCTAATCTGCATGAGCCAATAATTTAAGACTTTACAGAGCCAAATGATCTCCTTAAGGCTGAAACTAGTATAGTAAAAATCTATAGCTAGGTAAGTCAGTCTAGTATGTTCTACCTCATAAGAAAAACACCAAGACCTAGCTTCCAAAATACTGTTGGAATAAATAGAATACTGTTACATGCACCTGCATATTAAGCATTATAATTTTCTATGGGTAACTTCATGTTTAGTATATTATACAATATTCTTTGCAGATGCAAAATTGCAACAAATAAAATTTTAAAAATCAAATTTTACATTCAAATGTTACTCATCACAGTGTTGATTCCCCTCAGTTTTATTATCTCAAATGAAAAACTCCATATTTAGTACATAAAATGTCTCATTCAGTATGTCAAATGCTTTATTCAGTCTCATAAAAATTATATTACAATACATGTCTTCAGGCTTCTCCAAAATTTAGATGAGTAAGGATATTTGTGATGTGATGGCTAGCCCTTACATCACATGCTTCTATTAGCAGCAAGTGTCCCAGTTACTGGTTTCTGGCATTAGCTCAACTGTGGTTGTCTAAGAAAAGAATAAACACTTATTTTTAAAAGCTAAATCATTAACTGTAATGTCAAAATAAAGATCAATTTCTGTAATTACATACTACAAAAGCTTTCTTTATCTCAGAAAGATTTAGTAACTATCATCTACAACAGTTTATATTTTTGAAACTGAATGCCAGCAATGTCCCTGTACATTCCTATCAAGATCCAGAAATTTCTAGCCTTTAAATTTTTAACACCCAATTCTATTAGTATTCTCCAAACTGGATTAGAACTCATTAAAACAATTTAATGGGTCCTAAGCAACGGTTTTTTAAATGACACAGTATCTAATAGAAAAGAAAACAGTACACATATGTAATAAAGATAAGTCATGTTTAATGGGATTTTCAGTTCTTTAAATGAAGGTATGTGTATCACTGGTCACAATGCAAAATACATTTCTATAGGTTTGGGTCAAAACATGGTTCCATGGTTAGAGCTACTATAAAATGTAGGAGTATCAAAACATACTGTTAGTTACAATTAAGGTTATTTTTCAATGAGAAACTTTATGAAAACCTAAATTTCCTCAATAAATATAAATATTACTATAAGTCTAATGAAATTATTATTCTAATTATCCAGGTCTGATTATTTCTAGTAACTAGAAAGGTTAGGTATGGTTTAAGTGCCAAGATTTAGTTATGGTTTAAGTGTGCCCCCCAGGGGGTGTATGTGTTAGAATTTTGATGCCCAGTGTGAAAATGTTCAGAGGACTTTAAGAGATAAGTCTGAGTAAGAAGGTCTTTAGGTCATTAGGGGTTGGAAAAGGTCAAGTTAGTTCTCAGGAGAGTGACTTCTTGGCTCACTATGTGACCTTTCCCTTTCATATATGTGTATCCCATGTTGTCATCAGCCATGAAGTCCTCACCAAGGCCAAGCTCCTGTTGACACCATGCAATTGAACTTCCAGAACTGTAAGCTAAATAAACATCTCTTCTTTATAAAAGTACCCAGCCTCAGATATTTCATTATAGTAAGAGAAAGCCAATTAATATACTAGAAAATGATTGTTTCATAAGTCTTCAAAATGTCTTTTGTGTCTTCTATTTTCAATTTCATAAGTGAATTTATACACTCAAACCTGTATCACAGTTCATGTGTCTCAAGAGATGGAAAGAGACAGAATACTTAGTGTAAGAATGCCAGGATCCTAAGTATTTATTATATGTTCACCTAGAGAAACACAGAACACCTTCACCTCCTGCCCGCTTAAGAATGACAAGAATCAGCCAGACTCAATGGTGCATGCCTATAATCCCAGAGACGTGGCTTGGGAGGCTGAGGCAGAGGATCCCAAGTTCAAAGCCAACCTGGGCAACTTAACAATGCCCTAAGAAACTTAGCATGACCCTGTCTAAAACAAAAAATAAAAAGGGAAAGCACCCCTGGATTCAAACTCCAGTACAAAAATAAAGAAGAAGACTGACAAGGATAATCAAGGCCCAAATTTGTATTATTAAAATATTCACCAAACCAACTGATATGAGCAAATCATCTCACTGTCTATAATCACAACTGGACTGCAAACCCTAATCACAGCAATGATTTAAAAAAAAAAACAAAAAACTTGTATGGTGGTGCATGTCTGTTATCCCAGCTACATGGGAGTCTGAAGCAAGAGCATAACAAGTTTCAGATTAACCTGGGCAATTTAGCAAGATTCTGTCTCAAAATATTTTTTTTAAAGGACTGGGACATAGCTCAGTGGTAAAGTACCTTCCTAGCATGGGCAAAGCCCAAGGTTCAATCCCCACTACTACTACTACTACTACTATTACTACTACTACTACTACTACTACTAATAATAATAATAATAATAATAATAATATAAGCTGAAAGCCACCAGGGAAAATCATGATCATTTGGGGGCATAACTTTCATTCACTAAATACAAATATTTACTGAGTATTAACCATGCACTAGAAATAGGCATATTTGGTAGAAATACAGCAGTGAACTTGCCCTCAAAGAGATCTCATCTAGCTGGGTGCAGTGGCACATGCCTATAATCCCAGCAGCTCAGAAGGTTGAAGCAGGAGGACCATAAGTTAAAAGCCAGTCTCAGCAACTTAGTGAGACCCTAAGAAACTTCACAAGATCATCACAAAATAAAAAATTAAAAATTAAAAGGACTGTGGCTTTGGCTCAGTGGTTAAACACCCCTATGTTCAATCCCTGGTTTGGGGCAGGAGACTCTCATCAAAAAAAAATCTCATCAAGACTCTTACTGAGCTAAGTACCACCATGACCCACAACCTTTGAAGTACACTTTTAGGTAAATTAAAAATTATATTCTTCTGTTCCTCAGCTGATCAAAAACAGCTGATTCACAGTAGTTATCTTCTATAAAGGCATTACAAACAGAAAAATCAAACACTGAACTACTGCTCCTAGGAAAAATACAAGTTTAGGTTCCTGCCAGCCTCTTTGGTCACAAGATTTTCATAAATCAATCAATACATAATTCATTGTTTTATGTATGGTTCTGTTGAAAAACACCTTACATCATTATAACTTATGCCTAACTAAGCTCACTT